GGGAAGTGGGACAAGGAGCCAGAAGACATTCACTGGAAAGCTTTGATCAAGGGGGAAAGACCAACCCTCAGAAGTATGGCTTTGATTGGGGCCTTTCTTCATGCTAGTATGCTAAGATGTAACTAGTGCTACAAACTTGTGCAGCCACAGGTAACTTCCCCACCAAGACCTTTTAAACCATGCACCAAAATACATTTTCTCCCTTCAAACTGCTTCTGTCACTGTCAACAAGAATGGGTCTACAGTCCTTCCCCTATTCTTCACCAAAAAGGCTCCACTCATCCTTCAAAGTCCAACAGATCCTTTGCATTCCCCCAAACTGTTGCCAATTCCTCCAGGCACAGCAACAGCAACACAGCTTTTGCCAAGCTGGGTAGTAATTTATCTTTCCATCCTACTGCCCATTCACCATTATTTCCAAACAAACTCTGATGCAACTGACCTGCTTGGGGCAATGGGGAGTGAAGAAACCATAGACACATGTACAGAAATGCTGGGGCTCGGTGGGCCATGCTCTCAGATGGAGATGCACCAGTAGCCTGGAAAACTCAGAGTACTTCTCTCATATGTGTGTGAGTGAGTATATATATATATGTATATATATATATATATATACATACAGATTTTATATATATATATAAAATCTGGACAAGAGGTCTATGTAGAGGAGCAGTCTCCATGACCTCTGCCTCAGCTCCTGCCTCCAGGTTCTTGTCCAGTTTTGGAGTTTCTTCCCTGACTTCAGTAGGTGATAGACTGTGATGTGGAACAAGCTGAAGTAAATCCTTCCCTCTCACATTGTTTTTGGTCATGGTATTTATCACAGCAAAGGAAACCTAAGACAGTGATCATGGCAAAATTCAGTTTTCATGATAAAATTCAAAGCTAGAGGAAAATGTTAGGCATTGCCTAGTCTGAATTCTTTTTACTGGACAAGAAAACAAAACCAGAGATCCCAGCTCTCCTGTGTTGAGACAGCAAACTGGCAACCAGGTGGGAGACTGGTTGGTTCAGTAGGCCCTCCTCTGTGGTCAACCAAGGCTGGAAGACTTTACAAGGAAAACTGAACAGTTCACACATGTTATTATAGCATATTTATAATCATTTTACTATGTTACTGTTAATCAAGTCTTACTGTGGCCAATTTAAAATTAAACTTTATCATAAGTATGTGCATACATGAAAAAGCTGTCTGCATAGCACTTGGTACTATCTGTGGTTTTGAGTGTCCACTGGCAGCATTTAGAATGTATCCTCTGGGGACTGGAGAGTAAGGAACAATGGGGATCATGCGGTTTTTCTATATAAATCAAACCATAAGGATTTTAATTTAAAAAGCAAATTAAATGTTCTTCTGGAGCTAAGCTTCTACCTTTGTGTGTGTGTGTGTAACTTCAGAAAAAAATAGTAGCTATTAAAAAAAAAAAAGAGTGAAAAAAGCCGGGCAGTGGTGGCGCACGCCTTTAATCCCAGCACTTGGGAAGCAGAGGCAGGTGGATTTCTGAGTTTTAGGCCAGCCTGGTCTACAGAGTGAGTTCCAGGACAGCCAAGGCTATACAGAGAAACCCTGTCTCAAAAAACCAAAAAAAAAAAGAAAAAAAAATTCCATGACCATCATGGCAGGGAGTATGGCAGCAGGCAGGCAGGCATCGTGCTGAGCAGTAACTGAGAGCTTGTATCTTGATGAAGCATGGTGCAGAGATAGAGCTGTCAACGGGATTGATTTGGAAACCTAACCTTGCCTGTGTGACACAGTTCCTGCAACTAGACCATAACACCTAATCCTTCCCCAACAGTTCTGCCAATAAGCTTTTCTGTAGCCCAGGCTGCCCTATGAATGAGGGTGACCTTGAACTTCTGATTCTTTTTTGCTTCTACTTCCCAAGTGTTGGGATTCCCAACCAAGTACTCAAATATAGGTACCTGTGGCGGTTATTCTCACTCGAGTTAACAGTGTCTGTGGAGACCACAAGAGAGCATCAGACCCTCTGAACTGGAGTTATAGGTGTGAGGAACCCAAGACGGGTGGTGGGAACCAAACTTGGGACTTCTGGAAGGGCAGCAAATGCTCGTAATTGCTGAGCCATTTCTTCTGGAGTGACAGGGTATGATGTAATCGTACTGAACCTGTATCTTGACCTGTAAGATGAGATTCAATCACATTTACTTTCCTTTAAACAGTGGCTATGAGGCTTACGCTGGTTTCCCTCTCCCATGCCTTGCACAAATGCCTAGAATTAGTGATAGATATTCCACACTCTATATTAAAATATGCCTCACTGATATCAGATCTGAGACCTACTCAGAACTTTTTAAAATGATTTATTTATTTATAAATAAGAACACTCTGTATGTACGCCTCATGACAGAAGAGAGAATCAGAGAGACAGAAGAGACCATCAGATCTCACTATAGATGACTAGGAATTGAACTCAGAACCTCTAGAAGAGCAATCAGTGCTCTTAACCACTGTGCCATCTCTCCAGCCTGAACAAACCACTTCTAACACATTAGCCATGGAAGAATATGTCAAGGTTAGAAGCAGAATGTAAAACTGTGCTTACAGTGTCACAAGGCCTTTGTATAGTTTTGAATTAAAGACAGGTTGTGCTAGTTACATTTAAAAAGTGTAAACTGTTTTTTTTTTTTTAAAAAAAAAACACACACACACACTACAGAAGGCAATTTTATCTAACCTGTTAAACTAGTTCTAGCTTCCTCGGACATGTAAAATTATATAACCAGTGAGCTGAACGATTAATTTGTAGCTGAGAGTGTTTCCTTCATAGAGTGTGCACTTACAAAGCTTGAGGTGCTGGTTTCAACCCCCATCACGAAAGGAAAAGAACTGTATATCACTACCTAAACTTCACCCTCCCATTGTAAGAGGACCTTAATAACTCAGTCTACTGGCACCTGGGTCAACAGGTTCTCCTGCTCATGTGACTGCTTTCAATCTGTCTAGCTCAGAATCTAACGGATTTCCAGGTCCCTGTGTCACATGGTTTATGTCCTCTAGCTTGTAGTGAATGTCATAAAGCAGGTTGTATGGAGTTGCTCCGTCTAGCAGAGGCACAGTCTGCATACGGATGTCTAGCTATTCCTCCTCAAGTCTGGCCTCATCCAGTTTGTATTTTAACTGATTTTATTACTCACTTTCATAGCAGCATGGACTGCCTGTGAGGACTGAAAGGTATTACCTGGGATACTGCATTTGTAATGACTTCCAATGATACCTAAATATTTACCATTATCTTGCTTTCCTTTGTGCTAATAAGCATTGTTTCTCCGTAACTATTTTATGGTGCAAAGAAACTCACATTAAGCCATTAATACCTTAGGATGAATTTACTTGGACTGCAATTTTTTAAGATATTTTATTTTTAGTCATGTATATGAATATGTATCTGTGTGGGGGTTTTTGCTCATGCTTGCCCTGGGAATTCAGAGTCATCAGATCCCCTGGAGTTGGAGGCACTTTTAGGTTGTCTGATGTAGAGTACTGGGAACTGAACTCAGGTCTTCAAGTGCAGTTCATGCTCTTTACCAGCTCTCCAGCCCCTCGACAGTAATTTCTTGCAGGGCGAAGTCAATATTGAATTCTGAACAAACTGTTGGGATGAATGTTCTTAAGACTCACAGTACAGTTGTCCAGGGATGACCTGGACATTCAAATGTAGATTTAAATTCCAATGTGGATTCGAATGACTCATATGAGGACACAGCACAAGGGTCCATCTGAAGGCAACGGCCTTTTGCTGCTCACGAGTCACAGTCTCAGGTAGCAGAGAGCAAAGGCAAATCAGTTAAAGGAGATGGCCATACCAAGGCTCCACAGACAGAGCTGATGAGTCAGATTCTACAAACAGGCTCAGAGCTGTACAAGACTGAGACAGTCACACAGACAGGGGTGTGAGATTGCCTATCCCTCAGTGAAAAGGCTGGAGTGGCTATCCTTGTCTCTGTGTAACTCACTCCAGTGAGAAGCTGCAGATGGATGGTACAAGTGGAGAAAAGTTGAAACACTGAGTGACATGCATCTCCAGGCTGCTACTGACACTCTTGGCAGGTGCCTCCTTAGGATAGTATACATGTCACCTGCAACTATGCCACTCCTTTTAGTTTTGTCACCTACTTTCTCTTTAAAAATTCACTTTTACTAAATTCCACTATCTATCGTTCCCAATACAGTCATCTTCAAAGAGTCACAAAAACTGTGGGAGGGGTTGCAGCAGGGATGTGAAAAGGGTGACTGAAAACAAGCTTCAGGTAATTCAGTAACAAGGGGTAGAGATGCTGGTGAGCTGCAGCCTGACTCTCACTGCCAGAGTAGCTGCTATCTGTAGTCCTTTCTAGACAGGCTGAGTGAGAACCTCCTGTTCTAGCATGTGTGCCTGTGTGTGTGTGGGGTGGGAGGTGTGGAGGTTTTATTACCTGGGGCTGGTGGGCCACTCCTTTGTCTGACCTTCATCATTGCAGGGGGATTACAGAGTTGGAAAACAGAGTATCCTCAGCAACTGCAGTGTTAACCATGGTCACCATGGGATTCTGGGTGATGTCACTCCCTAGCCACCTCATAGGCCTCTTGTTCTTACAGGATAGATGAAGCGTATGGGAGCCCTACACCTGAGCTTGGAGTCCACTTTCCCTTCCTCACAAGAGTGTTTTTTTCTGCTTATCGAGCCTCAGCACACGTATCACCTAGTAGCCCTCCTAAAAGATTTTGTTGTGACATTTGTCCCTCCTTCTGGCTCCCAGAAGGTCCTTTCATGATTCATGCTCTACATACGATGCTGCAAGGAGAGATAAGTTCCAGCACCCCACCTTCCTCAGGCATCTCTCAGGCTGTGGAGGCCTGGGTGAGCCTCATTCACCTGCACGCCACAGCACCTGGCTCTCAAAATGTTCTTAGACAATGTCAAGTGAATGAAGCGAAGGGGAAGAGAAATAGTCTTTTACTAATTTATTGGGCAAAACACAGAAAAAAGTCAATGACGCACTGACCCAGTAAGTAAAGCTTTTAATGACTCTTCTCTCACGTTTGTGAGCATGTTAGCAAGTGAAAAAAGCTTTTATTCTTTCCAAATAACAGAGTTCCAAATAATGATCACAGTGATTAAGATGCTGGATGAATAGCCCAAGAATATTATCAAATAACAAAATCTCAACAACTTATCAAATGAAGCTTTACTGAGACATAGAGAATATGTGTTAGGAGTTAACATGGCTAAAAATGAAACATCACAGAAATAGTAAGTCCATAAACCTAGACCAGGCACTGAATAACAAGTGATTAGGTGAGCACACACTACAGACAAACCAGTATTTGAAGCAGCTTATAGCACCAGCACATTGGCAGGACCAGCAGAGAGGCAGGTTGTTCAACCAAGGCATCTGGAAATAGGGAGGATGTCAGCCATCTTCTCTGCTTCTACTCCCTTGTTACAGAAGGGGAAGGGGAGGCTCAGAGAGCTGTCGTGCCTGGCTCTAAGTCCTGGCTCAGGACTGACCAGGCCACTGACCACTGCTAAGTGCTCTATTCTATTTGATTTGATGTATTTTTCCTACTAACAGGCTTACGGTGAAAGAAAACAACAAACTTCATAGCATACTTCATTCAGTATTACATTTATTTCATTGGAGGTGACTCTTGGGCCTGTGCATGGACACACTTTTAATACAAATTCAAGGTGATGAGTCCGAAAGTTCTATCTTAGTGGTAAGCTGGTGGAAGGTGGCACTTGAACAAATATAATTTGGCACATATTTTTAATTGTTATTTTAGTGTGTGTGTGTGTGTGTGTGTGTGTGTGTGTGTAGAGGTCAGAAGACAACCTTCAGGAATCAATTCTTTTCTTCTCCCTTGTGCATCCTGAAGATTAGACACAGGTTGCTGGACTTGGCATCAAGCACCTTCACCTACTGAGCCATCATGCTGGCCCCAGTTTGACACATCTTACATTGTGTAAATAGTGCATGGAAATTATTAACCCATTGGTATAAACTTTCTCCCATGAATAGTTTAACGATTAGCAAAGTATATAAATAATCTGAACACAGAAAGAGTAGACCAAGCCTTCCCTTGAAAGTGTAAGAATGATACTCTTTTTCTTTCATATGGAAAAGAATTTAAAAACATGATTTCAAAGAAACAGAATATTTAGCTACAACCCACAGCTTATGAACCACGTGCTATATCTTCCCTATTTAAAGATATGTATGTTTCTTCAAAATGCTCTGGAGTCATGGACTCTTGTGTACTCTATCTTGCCAGGGCCACGGACAAACTTATGATGAACTACGGGGATCAGAGAGTATAAACAGTGTAGTGCTCACAGGAGTGTCAGTTCAGACAAAACACACTGAACATACAGAAAGGAAGCCAGGTTGTCAGTGTGGGGGAAAAATCCCACACTGTGCATCAGTGTGGGAAAAATCCCACACTGTGCAACACTGTGGAACTTCTGTGCATCATGACGTCACCAACATACTGCTGCAGTCACCCAGCTTCATAAGTGAACACATAGATAAAAGTGACTCCTACATGTCATATATATGTATGTATTACACTTTCTCACATAGACATCTAGTTATAAGTAAGTCAATAGTTGGCTAATGATTCCCCTCTGGGTCCAGCATCAAAGAATCTGATTTTACTATTATTGTGAGCACAGCTCAGATCTGGTTACGAAGTTACAAGATTTATTGTCTCTAATCAATGAAAAGGCAACAAAATCTCCTGGGACCTCAAGTTCATTTCCTACCATTAAAAGCATATTAATAAAAATATGTTTAAGTACTAAAGAATATACTATGTTTGTTACCAATAATGTGCACATGATTGCATAAAAATATTCTGTAATAAACTGCCTTATAAATATTTAAAGAAACATGTTTAAGATTAGAGTGAATATAAGATTAGTGTTCTGAAACTATCAGTATAAAAATATACTTGTAAAAAAAGAATGTTCCATTGAATGTAAAAATTGTCTTTTTGGTGTACATTTCCATTTTCCCCTTTTCAAGGTAAAAGCTCTATCTGTCCCGAACAGGTGTTGTTAACCCAGCTGGGAACTCAGCAGTGACAACAGGCTCTGGGCAGTGCTATGGCTTTCATGTGCTCAGTCCCGAGTGCTGAGCATAGGGATAACCTGGAGAGATTCTGATGCCTCGGAGTCACTTAGGAATAGTACTGCATGTTTACCATCAAGAAGTATGATGCTCACAGCCCAGGCATTAGATATTAAAAGACATTTTTTTTTAACTGCACACTGTACACAAGTGGGGGAAATTTTATAAGCAACTCCTGGGGCTAAGTCTTTTTTGAGAACACTTTTTAAAATCCTTCATTAAGTAGTTACCTTAATGAACTAAAATATCACGGGCTTTGTGTTTGGCTTGGGTTTCTAATTGAATATTTTAAATATTCACTGTGACAAAGTCAAAATACCTCCTTGGTCATGTCAGGTTTTTGTGCCTCTGGGATCCCTACTGGACACTGTGAGGGTATGTGGACTATTTTCATGATCAGAGTAAAACTGAGGACCTCACCACCCAAATGCTGGATGCTGGAACTGTTCTACAGAATTCAAGCCCCCTTTTGGATTGGCCCTTCCCCCAGGGTGATTTGTGAACATGGTAGTGTTGAAACTGCAGCCATCTGCAAAGAGCTCAAGTGTCTTTATATTGCTTGAGTGTTTTTTTTCCCTACTGTGGTCCACCCACTTAAAACTGAGACGAAGGGAATGTCCTCCTGAAAACAATTGCTCTAGCAGCGAAGTACGGGTACCATGCTGGTGAGGAGAAAGGGAGAGGGTTGCCTGTAAAGTGGGCCCAGGAGAGCAGTTATTTTCATAGATTTCTGCTCCCTCTCTGTGTGAGGCTCTCACTTCATTTTTCCATCCCAGTCATGGTGGTGGAAGTTTCTGAGATGGCCACCCCCAATCCAGCAGAGATCAAGAGCCCTGGAGTGTAGCTGCCCAGGGTCCTCTCAAGGGTGTCTTCCCCTTTCTTAGCCTCAGGATCACAAAGCCCAAATGACTGATATGAATTAAGACCCCATCAAAGGGCTTTCAGTTTTAACCTTAGGTTTTTAACTAGCACAGTTTACTGTAAACTCAGGGGCCAGCACAATTCCAAGAGAGGAGGGAGAACAGTATCATCATCTCATTATAATGCAGATGATCTTGGCAATGTTCTTTCATTATCTTCTTTTGTACAAAAATTACACAGAAAGAATCTGTTATTCTACCTACACAGAGTCCGGATATCGATATCTGAAGGGCTGATGCTACCGCAGGAAGTTTCAGGGTAGTTAGTGCCGATAGTGCAAAAAGATATGGCTGTAGACACATGCTGCCTCCCCAGACCCCTTACGTAGGATATAGGTTGACACAAACTTTATTAAGAGCACAGTATAAGGGTTTTGGACTGAAGTGATTCTTGACATTTTAATTTGCCGGTGCTTAGACAATGTAGGTCTTGACATATCTTAATCAATTGTATACTGTTAAGACAAGCTTCCCACAACTCCCCTGCCACTTTCCTTATACAGTAACCCAATATGATACCATAGTTACCAAATAGAAAATAAGATTGTTATTCTGTATTAAACCAGTAAAGGGCGAAGAAAGGACAACTTGAAAAAAGAGAGACTTCAGGGTCTGTTATTCCAAGAGAAGGGTGTTTTAGTTACTAGCGGTGGTTACCAGGTAAGCCGAAGGAAAATCTTCAGGTTGCTGCTGTGGTTTGCATTAGGAGGCAAGGGGTGCTTCCCGGTTCACTATAAGATGATGCAAGTCTTCTTCTCCTTGAATGGGTTTTCTGAGGTTGGTATGCCCATCAGCAGTGGGTCGCTCCGGGCATGCTCCTCACAGTATGACATCAGGTCTGCAGATGCTTTTGAGACCTGATATGAACAAAAATAAGAAAGAGAAGACTTTACCCACAAATGTCAGTACTGCACCTGATCCCAATAATCAGTGACACAGCATGGCCTTCAGAGCACTTGTCAAGTGCAGGGAAAATGATACCCGGCCAGTAAGACCTGCCTTAACTAAGTGATCAGATGAGGACATCTCTCCCACAAGCAAAAACATTTAACTAGAAGCAGGCAACAATCAATCTCCATTCTAAGTGATGGCAACTCTGTGAAACAAGCTGTCTGGATTCCCCATAAAACACACTGTTGTTATAGAATCCTGAAGTACAGTGATTTTCAAGTGGCTTAAAGAAAAAGTCCTAGTGTTCTCAGTATGAACGTGAAGCAAAAGAGACACACTGAAAGAAAATAAAAGCAAATGACAATTAACAGTACTCAATGGTAAGAAGTGTAAATAAACTCCTGTGAAATCTTGGTGAAGCAAACACACAGCTGAGTGGGAAAGGCTCCTGCTGCCAAGCCTGATGGCCCGAGTTCTTTCCCCAGGACCCACATGGTATGAGAGAACTGTCTTCTATACTGTACTCTGGCTTCTACATGTGTGCTTATTACTGACACAACACACCACACACACACACACACACACACACACACTCATCCAAAAAATTAATAATAAAAATGAGTGTTTGGACATTTGCCATTCTTCTGTAGTATGAAGTGTTTCAAAATGAAAGTTAGGGGCAAAGAAGGAAAGGCATGTGAGTCACTGGGAAGTTTACATTTTAGTTTCAATCCAAGAGGAGTAAGACTGGTACACAGAACAGAATTTAAGAATTGAGTAATGAAGCCCATACTTGAGTAGCTTTGAGATTTACTCTCAGTGACCTAGTGTGGGGGGACGGGAAAAGCACAACACTAGCAAAGGGAGGCACCATGCCTTTTTCTGGTGTGGCATGTGCAACTCTCTGTCTTGTGAAGGGAGTCTAGAGGGAGACTCCAGGAGTGACAAGACCAGAGCTATGAGGGCGACCACAGGAACTTCAAGCTTTGCTGACAGGTGACTATCTCCAGTCAGGTAATTGCTTCCATTTCAAGAAACAGCATGAGTCATAACATTCCAGGGCTCTCAAGGGCCACTCTTCTCAGGGCTGAAGGGAACACTACAAGGTCAAGGTATCTAAATGTATCTTGCCTTGAGATGGGGGTCTCTATTAACCCTGGGGCACAGAGCAGTCACTGAGTGGTTTATTCTACAGGAATCAACCTGGCAGTCACTTGCAACACTTTGATAACTCTGTAACACTTGATAAATTCTAGAAGGGTGACAAGGATGTTGATCAACTTTCCTGGGAATCCTGTTCCCATCAGAAGATAAGTCTTGATCACATTCAAAGCTTGTCTAGGACTTGACAGAGGGACTAGCTTAGGTATCTGCTCCTTCAGTTGTTTTGAAATAACATCTGTGCTGGCTAGGAAATGAAAACTAAATTATTGTCAGCCTGCTCCAGGAAACGCCTGGAAGCAAGCTGCACACAGATGTATCTTCTCTGACCTATGCTCCTGCCCAGGAAGGGTGGGAAATTACCCAGAACAAACCAGCAGGTCGCTCACACTTGCCTTTATTCTTTCGATGGAGGCTTCCAATCTCAGCTGCTGCACGGTTCTCCTTGCTTGGGCTATGCTGTTGGTGCTTGCAGTCTTGCTAGACATCTTTGAGGATGATTCTTTCCTGAAATCTGAAGAGAATTAAGAAAGTGAACAGCACTTCCTTTGGGTTATTTGAACCTTTATTAAAATGTGTTACTTGAAGGGGTCTGGCAATATATCCTCAACCATCCCAGCCAGAAATTCCCCACAGTAATTCTGGTGCTGATCTAGATGTGCCAGCCTGCCACCCATTTGAGTATCTACAAACCTTTTTGTGGAAATTTAACACCGATCAGTTGATCAGTCTAATCTATGCACCCTGACATACTATAGAAAAGTGTCCTTTAAAGAACATCCTAAGAAATAATGTAGTAGTTAAAGGACCTACAGCATACGCAAGCATCTGGTAGAAGAGCATACTACCATCACCACAACCCTTGTAACCCAGAAGGCTTCACTTCATTTCAACTGAACTAATGAAAAATTCAAGTCACAGGAAATGGTGAAAAAGCCCTCCTCTAAAGAACTTTGCACACAGGGCAATTGTTAGGGGACAGCAGATGTGCAGTAAGTTTAAGACTACTGGCAGGTAAACAAGTCCTTATTTAAAAAGGGGTGGGGGGACTTCTGGCTGAAGGACTCTCCATAATAGATCTATAGTAGATGTCAAATGTACAATAGCCCGAAGTGGTAAAAGTTGTCATTCCTTCTCGCCTTATCCTGATGGCCAAGGCACTTGCTCACTCTGTTACCTGCCCTTGAATGTTAGAGGGTTGATCCTCCTTTCTGGCCTGAGCCCCTGGATTCTATACCACCCTGCTGCCTTGTCTGTACAATCAGATGATGCAAAGCAGTGGAAAGAGCCTGGTCCTTGAGCTTTGACCTGTCTGCTTAGCCAAGGGCACCATTTCAAGAGGAAGACAGGTCCAGGGCAAGTGCTGCCTGGTGCCCCTGCCATATATGGTTACATTCATGCCTGGAGTGGTGGCAACTGGAGAAAAAGGCTGAGCTGGCAGGAAGGTGGCAGTTTCATGACTCATGGGAGCAGGTGGGCAGTAGGTGTGCCTCCCTGGCACTATGTGAGGACTCAGCAGTCTAGGGCACCATGGCGCCAGCAGCAAACCCAGGCTGACTCATTCTTTGGGAGGGCTTGCTGCTGTACAAGGCTTAGATCAGACAAGGTGTAAAACACCAGTAATATAGACGAGTGAGTGGCCTGAGACACAGACGTCTCCAAGAGCTGAGTCAATGAGCTCAGAGGGCTGAACCCTTTGGTGTTCATTTTTACACATTTATACAAAACACATTCAGAAAACAAAGCCCTTCGAGCTGTGTGCAGGGCTTTGGATTAGGCCTTGGCATCGGGCTTCCAGGTACCAGGCTTGGCTGCTCCCCTGCTACTACTACCTGGAGGCTGAGAGTGGGCAAGCTGCTTCACTTTGACTGCTTATCGTCTCATTTGTAGGCAGGGTGCCATTATCCACCTCAACAGCTTATGCATATCTAGTATACGGTCCAGAACAATGGTGGTTCACAAACTGGAGCTGTTGGCAGTACTGGAATCCCCTGTGCCTGTGCTGTCCATTCTCCCCTACCTGCTCAGTGGACCTCAAGGGTTCTGATGAATTTGATTGAGGCAGGGTCCTTTAGAACAACTCATTAGCCAATTTTGCCACATAAGTATCAGGACAGAACCAAAGGGGTGGTGACAGCCAATAGTAGATTAGGGGAATAGGCAGGCCCTAGTAGGACAGAGGTACATAACAAGGAAATGTACGGCAGGGCAGGGTGGCCTTGCCTTGTCTTTGGCCTTAAGTGACCTTGATTCAACACACAGACTAACAGACTCTTCCTCAGATTTCAGTCATCCAGCCTCGTCCAAGAGAGTGGCTGAGGGTCGACGGGGGACGGGGACGGGGGGGGGGGGGGGGGGGGGGGGGCAAGATGTGTTACATCCAAATCCTTCAATATGCTTCCAGGCCAGGGTCTATTAATCAGAGTCTGAAGTTCCAGCAAGGCATGGACAACCTCACCTTGCACAGAGTGCAGGGCCCAATGTCTGTCCCTGCAGCCTGGGAACCTGGACTCTCCTTCTAGCTGGTAGCTGGTTGAATGTGACCCTGACTCTTTCTGAGTGTCTTGTGGTTTGTAGACTGCACCCTCAGGGTTTTGCTATGTTCCCTTTGCATGAGAATAACGGCAAGCATTCTCTTTTTCTCAACCTTCTGGGTGCAGTTTTTACTGCACCCAGAATTTGCCAGGGCAAATTTTCATGTAACTGAAGGAGAGGTCACATGCGAACATCACTCATTGTTCCTACCTGTGTGGCCATCAGCAAACAATCCACAGTCCAGCTCTATTTATAAAACCCTGGCAAGTTCTTTCTTTCAGTGAAGACAGATACACAGAGCTATAGGAGAAAGTCTTCCCTTCCCCAACTGTGTTACAATTAATATTTAAACCAGCTAGCTTGTAAGCTAAGACAAAAGAAAATGAAAGCGATAAAAAAAGCAATCCACAATTCATTCCTGCCAGTTCAGGCCTCTACTGCTCCTTTGCTGGACCTGGTCAGGCTCCTAGCCCCATGCTCCCTTCCACGGGGAAATCTTGCAGGTTCCCAGGCTCTAATAGGTCCATACATCAATTGGATTTTTGTTTTCCTACTCTTCCTTTCCTCCACACCTCTTCTTGAGGGGTGTGGTGGGGGAGAGTGTCCTCACTATGTTGCCTAGGCTGGCTCCAGTCTCCTAGGTGCAAGCTATCTTCCTACTGAAACCTCTTAGTGTGAAAGCTCCACAAGCTACCACACTGGGCCTAGCAACTTCCTGTCTCCCTTTGGAAGCAGGGTCTCAAAACGTGGGTATCTTTTCTTACCACGGAGAGAGGAATCTTCCCAGGTTTTTATAAGGACAGAGAGACTATGGATAATCTGTTGATGGCCACACAGGTAGGATCATGCTGGTTTGTTCAGGCTGGCCTTGAACTTGTGGCAATTCTCAGGCTTCCCTCCCAAGTTCTGGAATGAAGGGCTTGAGGCAGCACCTCCAGCAACATGTTTTCAATTAAGCATTTCTGGTACTGGGTTGGGTGTGTTGAAAATGGATGGTAAAAAAGGCACAGTCCCCCCCGCCCCCCAAGGCAGCACTGAAGAATAATTAGAAGCTCTCCTTTTCTGTTTCAAGGGAGCCCAACCCTAGCACAGCACTTGCCACCCTTCTCAGTTTCCTGGCTCAAATGTAATTTTATCTGCAAGTTCCTTCCCCTCTGCTGGTTACAGAGATAAGCCTACTTACAGAACTAGTTAACATTTAGAGATGAAAGCGTTTTAACTTCATTCTTAAATACAAAGTGCTTTTATTACATTTCTGTAGCAACAGCTTTGAGAAGTCAATTCAATGGGTTACTTGTGGGCTGTCCTAAAAAATAGTCACTGGGCCACTGGGAAGGAAAGGAATCTCTGATTAGTGTTTATGTTCTTAAAGAGAAATCAGATAGAAATTTTATAATTTTAAGTAGAGGAGCATCTTTCAGAGACATGGAATTCTACTGAGCTGCCTCAAATCTAGATAGCGGCTGTGTCTCTTTCAGTGATTTGTGGGATGGAGGCCTTTTTGTGCCTGGGACTGGCTAGAAAGGACTTTCCTCTTTGCAGATACTTTGTAGAGCAGGACCACAATGACAAAAACCACCCCCAAATGTATCTAGTCTCTCCTGGGCAGGAGTACCAGACTATATGTCTATGCGCCAGCTTGCTTTATCCAAGCAGAGCTTCCAGGGCAAATACCACCTGGCATGCTCATGGAAACTGGGAGCTTGCTTGTTGCTCTCATACACTCTTTCAGGAAGCCTTATTACAGCCCTTCATGAGGTTATTACTGTTGTTCTAAAGATGAGGCAACTGGAATTAGACAGGCTGGCTCCCAGGTAACCCAGTCTGTGTATTCTATGCAGCTTGTCAGACTTTTCTCTCCAGAAGTCCTCCTTCCCACTTGCACCACAGAAAGGGTGCAAATATAACTAAGGTGGTTCATGTACACTGGAGGTATCACAGTATGTTAACGTGGCTCGTCACTGGGAGCACCTCTAAGTAGGGGCTTGCTAGTTGCTTTGTGTTTATGTATCTCTCTTTGCAGCACAATATTTATCTGGCCCAGAGTCAGAGAAGGCTTCACTGCTGCATCCTGGAGTTAGCCAAGAACATTCTCCATAGCTCATAGGCGAGGGCTAATGTCAGAACTGGGTAGTGATGGTGGCAGTGTGTCTTGAACACTAATACTCCATTCTGTCCAGTAGAGTCAAAATTCAAGAACTTGAGCCACTGGCCATCTGATGAAATATAGCTGTTGCTTCTTTCCAGCTTCATACATGGGCAAAATAATGGAATAGGCATGGGGTATTTAGCTAATCAAATGGTTTGCATTGGTTTTGATGCAAAGGTTTGCCTAAATTCTGAGATTCTTAGAAACTCCTAGGAAAAAGATATTCCATTAAGGGAATACAGGCACTTAAATTTGTGTCAAGAGGACCTGAGCCAAAGAGGAGAGTGAGCATAAGATGTGTCACAGAGCATACTCTTCAGTGGAAGGAACAGAAGAGCCTATAGTCTGAATGACAAGTCACAGTGGCCTAGCCCGGAGCTAATCACTGGGGCGAAGCAACTTCTTCCAAGAACAAACATCCCTCTGTGGTTGTAACAAAAGAGCAAGCCTCCATTTACTCCAGCTCTCTGGATCTTGTATAAAAGAGGCACAAGAAGATTTGCCTCCTAGGGTTGTGAGAGATGGGACACAGACACACGCTGTGTTCAAAGTACCATACACAGAGATACTAAGTGCTGGGCTCAGCCCCATGTTCTTACTGTGAATCAAGCTTAATGCACTGCTGGAGAATTATGAGGTTAAGTGATCAGGTAGCACTAACTTTTTAATATAGCTTAAGAGGGGTGAAGTGCGGAGCAGGCTGTTACAGCCTCTCATCCTCACGAGCACTCACTATTCATATCAGAGCCTGAAGGCTCATGGTTAGACCGGGTCCCATGTGCACCATACAGTGTGTTTTACATCAAATTAACTATCACTCTTTGGAAAAG